CCAACTCCAGATCATAAATCACCCTCTCACTCATCATCAGCTAGTTGCACACCATTCATTTAGCGATAGAAGTTAGAAATAATTCATTCAATAAGATTTCTTGTTTCTCTTCGAGTTTGTGGTTACTGTAAGTTTCGTTCTGATTTGCACCTAGATGGCACATTGAAATAACAACAATCAACACTAGTTGATTTTGAATGAACATCTCTCTTACATAAAAAAAAGTTTCTATAACCATGAAATATATTTTTTTAATTAACAATTAGTCAACTACCTCGGCTGACCGCGCCTTTCCGAGCACCGGTCTCTCGGTCTGTCTGGTCTCGACAATCCTCGGACCGAGCATCCTGGTCTGACCGGTCACTTCCTGGCCAAGCAGCTTCTGCACGGTCCGGGGCAGCACACACAGTCCAAACTCTGCCCGGCCCAAGTTCTGGTAGCCCATCTCCGGGTGAACAGTCGATCATCTCGGCCCAATGCTCTGCTGGGCCCTCAACTTGCTCGGTCTACACCTCGGCCCAACACCGGATCATAAATCACCCTCTCAGATGCTAATTCAAGACCTTGTGGATCGGGTGAGGTCACTATATTTTGTGACCTCCCATGTTTTTGCCTTTTGAAATTTTTTTCGTGTTTGAGCTTTCGAGTTTCAGATGTAGGAACAGAATCGAGGAGTGTTTTTCCCTAGAACGGAGTTGTTAAACAAAACTGCACATACGGGGGGTAAAGTTGTATGTGCGAAAAGGGGTCATACGTGTGGAGGTTGGTGTCGCACGTACGAAAAGGGTGCCACGTTTTGGGTTGCATTATGAAAGAAAAGCACGTTCAGAGGAGAATTCCCGCACATGCGGGGAGGGGCGCCGCACGTGATATGCACATGATTTTTTAGATGCATGTGAGGAGCATGTAGCAATTTTCCATTAAAGTCTTCACAACCATTTTTAATTAGACAGATTAAATATAAATTACAAAATCAACAACCAAAATCACTATAGGGTTAAAAGCACAGTAAAAAGAAATCAAAATTTAAAAAAAAAAAATTCCTTAACATGAATAAGAATTGTATGTGCAAGCAAAGAGTTATCATAAGAATATCATAATTTGACTAGAATCGGACAAAACTATAATTATGAATTTAAAAATTGAGAAACTATATTTTTTATAAAGCCAATTATGAAAAAAGAAAATAAAAAATAAAAAAAGTATCCTGAAGTGGACTGCATGAAGTATAATGTAATCTCAACTCTTGAGACATTATAAGTAAGTTTTGATCATCAATAACTTCAAAGATCCAATTATTTGATAGTAGTTGAACTAGTTTTCCAATTGCCATTCACATTCTCCTCATGAGAATAGAAACAAATCAAAATAATTATGATTTATTTATGCATTTGTTTCACTTTTCTCATATTTTTTTTTCCCCATTGTCTTAGGTTTTATAAGCAACACACAAACACCAAATTCTTTGAAGTTGTTTATAACTAAAAAATGGACAGTAAATCAGAGATGGAGGAGAACATTAGCAGCTCAAGTTCAAGCAGTTCAGATGATTGCCCCAACCCAGATCATACTGAGACTCCTCAAAGACAACTGTAACTAAACAGTTCAAATTCCTATAACAGAAACAAAAACACTCAAATGCAAATGGCTCAAAAAACAAAAAGGGTGAGAGATGAAAGGCTTTCATTAAGTCTTCGAAGATCAAAGCGTAGCAAAAGTAAGAACGATCAGAGACTGATCAAAAGAACCTTATTATCATGGTTGATAGATGTCAAAGTGATTCAACAAAACAAAAAAGTTTGTTACGTAAATAAAGGTCGCGAGGAGGCATCAAAACAAGGAATGATTAGAAGGGATGGCATATTATGTGATCGTTGTCATGAGATTTTCACAGCATTGGATTTTGAGGTTCATGGTGGGAGTGGTGATCTTAAGAGACCATATGAAAACATTGCATCAATGAAGAGCCGCAGATTTCTCTCTGGTCTTGCCTCATAGAGGCTTGCGATAGAACTGAGCAAATTGAACAAGGCAAATTGAAAGATGTTGGGGCTAAATGCAGAGCTAGTGACAAGCATGACGATGCTTGTATGATTTGTGCTGATGGAGGAAGTTTGCTTTGTTGTGACATGTGTTCTTCGACTTATCATCAAGATTGCATGGATATGGATGTAAGGAGATTAATGTTTCAATGCTTGACAATTTCTTCGCTAAATATGAGTTTTAATTGAGTTGCTGATGTTGTTAGTTCTTTGATTTTGTGTAAACAGGTGGTTCCTGAAGGTGCTTGGCTTTGCCCTTATTGTGTTTGCAAGTTTTGTGGGAATCCTTGTGGTGCAAATGACTATTTGGTCACTTGTTTTCAAAGCGAGAAGAGATGTATGTATATTATTTTTTTCTCATATTCTGTCGCATTGGTATCACTCTAGTTTTTTGTTTTCTGAAAATTATTTTTGCAAAATTTCAAACATTTCAATGTCTTTGTTTCAAAAAACATGAAAACGAAGAATTTGAAAACAATACCAAATAGACCTTGGTCTTTTTTCAATCTAAAATTTTCAATGGATAAAATCATTTTTTATTGAAGATGAAAAGGCTAAAATATGTGTTTGTTTCTTGGTTGTAAAGATCACTGGGAATGCTATCAAGAGAGAAACTTGGAATCCATCGATGTCAACAGTCCATCCACCCCACTTTGTGAGCAGAGCTGTAAAGAGGTACTCTTTGTCTCCCTCGATTTCTCTTATTCTACACTTTTTTTTTTCTTTTTTCTTTTTTTAATCTATAGAAACATAAGTAGATCGAACTAATAGGCAAGAAAAAGCAACAATATTTTGGAAAGCAATGAATTTTTTTCAGAAAAAAATGTTTAGAATCTTGTGCTAGCTATACTTCATTCATTCTGGATGGAGCGCACACTCCTCCGAAAATGACTGTTAGACACTTTTTTGTGATACTTTTTTGAGTCTGGTGAATTTTAAGATATGACCAAACTAAATTTTTGGGTACAAGGTTTATGAGAAATTGGAGAAGATGGTTGGAGTTAGAATAGAGCTTGATGAAGGATTCTCATGGACTCTACTTTGACAAATGGATCAAGAATTTGGAGTTCAGTTAGATGATTTGTATCAAATTATTGAGTGCCATTCCAAGCTTGCAGTTGCAAGGATTGTGATGGAGGAATGCTTCGAGCCAATAAAAGACCGCAACACCAAAATCAATGTTATTCGAAATGTTGTGTATAATCGGAAGTAAGTACTCTCACCATGTATCTTTGAAATTTTTCAGTAAATTATTTCTTTCTCTATTTGATTTGATAATGTTTTGTGCCCATAAAAGTAGGCTTATAGTTGAACCATGTAAATTTTTCTGTGTGTCGATATTGTCTTAGTTTCTCAATTTCTACCGTTGGCATAACAACTAAAAAGCATGGATACTTCTAAGAATGTGACATATCTATGTTAGGTTTGTATCGAACATCAACACTATTTGGACACTTTCCCGACATGTATCCGACACTCTTCAAAACGTATCATATTTTTTAATTATTTTTTTAAAGACTCGGACAGTCTTTGGATACTTGGAGAACATACATGTTTATCATTTAGACACATGTGTCTAGCGATTAAACGCATGTGAAACTAATTATAAATCTGAACAAAACAACTTAAGATACAATAATAAAACAAAAACTATATAATTTTATAGATATTAGTGTCGTATTGCATTTTTTATTACATTTGAATGATATATTCATATATATAACATATAAAAATATATAAAACTATATATTTTATGTGTGTCCCATAGGTGTCATGTTTTGTATTTTCTGAAAATTGGCGTGTCCGTATCGTATCCATGTTGTATTGCATGTTCATGTCCACTCTTCTTAGCATAACAATTTGTTTTCTTCATTCCCTTTTATTGCCATTTGATTTCATCACAAGTTTAGTGCAAGAAAAAAAATCATTGTTTTCAATAATGCCTTTTTGTGTAGATCAAACTATACGCGGACAAACTTTAGTGGATTTCATTCTGCTATCCTAGAAAAGGATGATGAGATCATATCTGTGGCATCTGTGAGGTATATGTGCTCCATCACATCTACATTTAATGTTTATGCCTATAGAAATATAAATTTGCATGTCTAAGATTTTCTACACAATCTTGCTATAGGATTCACGGGACCAAACTTGCTGAAATGCCGTTCATCGCAACCCGTGAGAGCTACAGGAGTCAAGGGATGTGTCGGAGACTAATGGTTGCAATTGAATCTATAAGTTATTCAAGAATGCTACAACCAATTTCCTTATGAAAAAGGAAAAAGAAAAAGATTTGTAAATTAAAATTAGAGTTGAATCCAACTGATGTGTTCTGCTTGGATTGGAGAGAGTTGTAGGCTCTCACCACACTCATTTTCTTGGAACAAATCCTCATTGATTTCATTTCCATGGCAGGCTCTTTGCTACCTCAAAGTTGAAAGCATGGTCATACCCTCAATTCGTGAAAAAATTGGAACATGGACAGAAAGATATGGTTTTCAACACATTGGACCCTTCCTAAGCAAAGAAATAAGGCACCGAAATATCTTAACATTCCATGATTCATACAGATTACAAAAGATCTTAGCAGTCCCTCAAGGTTCTCTATTTCTCTTGCAAAATGTGCATGTGCAGTGCACGTGCATATAAATGGGACAATAAATAATTAACTTGTTGTGCATTGCAGCTAGGGAGGTGCGCGAGGTTGAGAACAATGAGCCTCAAAATGGACCAAACTTGTTGGGCATTGCAGCTAGGGAGGTGCATGAGGTTGAGAACAACGAGCATCAAAATGGATCTGTTTTTGAAAACAAATTGCCAATGCAAGCAATATTTGATTTGAACATGGAACTTACAGAAAAGGATGGGGTGAATGAGGACAGTGATATAACATCAAATAACACACATTAAAAGTCATCAGGAGGCCAAGGTTTTGTGTTGGAAAACATAGTTATTGAGGAATACTAGTTTCTTTTTGGTTTTTAGATCTTTTTAGAGTTTAGACTATTACAAAGAGGTTTCTCATTGTTGCTACCAACAGCTAATGAGTAAAGCTTAAGTTTGTTTTGTTTACTAGTCACTTGGTATCTAAGACTAGTGAAGATTACAGATTCTGATTTGTGAAGTCACAATTATTATAAACTTATTACTATCTGATAGAAGCATGTTAAAATATGTTTTATCTTACTTTTTCTGCAGTTTCAAAGCCTCATAATGACTTATTTATTTAAATTGTTCTTCCAGGTACAAAACCTTCTTCAACAGATGGTGAGTTGTAATGTAGATCTTATGTTTTATAGCTGTAACACTTCTGCTATTATTGATTTATACACTTTACCTAATTTGGCTTCCATGTTTTGATTCAGGCATCTAGATCAGTGAAGATTACAGATTCTATGCTATATCAACTGGGTTCAATGAATTTAGTAACAAGGACAAGATATTAAATTAAATCAAAACTCATGGGGTTTGTCTTGATGTTTTTCCTGTTATTTTTTGGCGAATGTTAAAACATGATTTTTTGTGGATATGTTATTTTGTAGTTAATGGTAATTGTATATTAAATTGAATGGGAAAGTGAATTAATGCTGTATTTGCTACTTGACAGCTTTTCATATAATTGGTTTATCTTTTGACAAATGTTCATTTGAATGGGAATGGGAATTATTGATTCATATTAGAGGTATTTCTTTTGGTTCAACCACATAGAATTAGCACAATTTCAAAAAAATAAATTAAAAAATAAAGATATAATGGCGTTTTTAAAAATGCCTCTATACAGTCAACGACTATATTTTTAAAATTCAAAAAAAGCTATGACGACGTTTTTAACACGTCGCCAAAAATTGTCATGACGTCAGTTTATCGCTATGTATCACATTTAGCGGCGTTTTTTAAAACGCCGCCTATAATCATTTAACGGCGTTTTTAAAGCGCCCCAAAGTTATAGCGACGGCCGCATCTTCGACGTTTCGTTGTAAGCGCCACAAAAATAATTAACGGCGTTTTTGACACCTTTAGCGGCGTTTTTTAAACGCCGCTAAAGCCTGAATTTCCTGCAGTGAATCTCTTTGTCAACTTTTAATGATCTCTTCAAATTCAATTGCTTGCCACATCTATTATATTAATTCACCTTATCAAAGAGATTATTTTATCAACCAAAATTGAAAAAATTATTAAGTTTTATTTTATTTTGACAATTACCATTGAATCCTATAAATTTGAATATAGATAACTAAATTCTATTTTCAAAAATTCATTCCTAAAAAAACTAAATTTTCCATAATAGTACTTTTCCACCCTCCAAGTTTATCTTTCTCTTTCAAAGCGCATTGAGAAATATATGAATCCATCACAATATTAATTTTCATAACTGTATTGATGGAATTATCCTAATACTTTGTGTTTTGGATTCATATTTTTTTTAATAAAAAAATTCATAATTTCAAATAATAGAAAATGATGAATTTTATGCAATAGTTCTTTTGATCTAATTGTGATTTATGACTTTGGTTAATATAATATTCATAATTTGTATAATTAAAAAAATATAAGTATAAATAAATAAATTAAAATTATTATTCATATTAAATCAGAAAAGTAAAATTAGATAGAAATTCATCATTATGGATAATTAAACTTTATGGAAACATTTTATTAAATACATTGTCGTTAGTTTGTTGCCTCATGAATTGTGGTGTAAATTTCTTGGTTTAGTTTTTAAAAATTGTTTTAGGCTTCTTATATTTTGTAATTTTTTTCGGTGTTTAGTTAATTTTCTTTCTTCATATTTTAATCATTTTTTATTCTACTTTTTAAATACATCTAATATAAATATAGATACGCTTAACAAAAGTAAATATATGTGAACAAATCTAGGGAAAAAAAAAGTTTACAAAAATTTTAAAAAATAAAAAATAATAAAGATCATGCACATTTTTGGGGGGTCGTTTTTTTTTAGATGTCTTCACATATAATTTATCTTTTAGGTGCACCTAAAAAAAATTAACTCAAATATAAAATTAAATAAAATAAAAATGACAAAAGATAATTTTTTTTAAAAAAAAAAATCACAAAAAACTTAGAAAACATCTTTCAAAACTAAACTTCAACTTAATATTTTACATGTCTGTGAGACTTGTTAGACCGACACATCTTAAAGTTCAACACAAATTAAAATTTTTTTAGTAATTTATTTTATGGCAGCACTAATGGTCAACATCTTGCATCTTTGCTATTGAGGATAGCAAAATCTTTGCCTTAGACTTTATGGTATTAAACTCTAAAAATTGGGAATTCAAAATTTTTCATATGCCGTCAATTGTGATAAAAAAAAAGGAAAAAAAAAAAAATTTAAACATGAATTGAAAGAGAAACAAACAAAGAAAAAATCATAAACATAGATTGTAGGGGATGAGAAAGAATAGTTTCAAAGAAATTGTTTAGCGTATTTCAAATGGATGAGGGGAACAAATTAACAAAGAACTGAGTTATATGGCCCAAACTATTTATAGATGCTAGGCACCACAATTCTTTGTATGCTTAGAAAAGATACAACTCTAAGTTGTGACTATTAGTGTTTGAAATTGAATCATATTCTAGAATCATAAAATAATTTCCTGTGTGAGAAGTCTTTCGCAATAGGCATAATGGTTCACTTTAAGTTGTAATTCATATGTAAATATGCCATTAAATGAATGTCAATTTTGGAATAAAAAATGTAGAAAACACTTTTAACGCTTACACTTTTTCTGATACAGATGTATATAGATTAGATTGTGTATTATATCTCATGTTGGAATTGACTTAGATTTATGAAAAGATTGATAAAATTATTTTAATTTGTAAATTAACAAATCAGTCTAAACCTCTTCTTAATCACTTGTTTCATATCCTATCCTCTTCTTGAAATTTAATAGCTCCTCATATGGGGATATCATATGTGAGTAGACTATTAGTCTGAATTCTTTACTTAAATGTGAGATTATATATATATATATATATATTATTAATTCAATTTCAATATCATATTTATCCAAACAAACATAGTGATATATATTTCCTTTGCCTTACAATTTTTTATTTATTTTTTTAAATATATATTTTTGTTCCTGTTGTTAGCCCTGCAAGTAGTAGTAGCACCGTCATAGATTGTCATCCCCAACTAATGGGCCCAGACACAAGCCCAAGAAAGTATGTGATTTGGAAAGTTGGAAATAATAAGGGAGAGCTGTCTGGTGGGAGGATTCGACTGCAGGGGAAATTGTAGAGACACTTCTCTTTTATATAACATCAACTTGGTTTGTATATTAATGTATGTGAACTAGCAGAGTCAGCTAGTTTATTTTATATATACATAATTAAATTATAATTTAAGAATGTATATGTGATAATGATGGTTTAATTAGTTGTATGTATGTACTAATAAAAATGAAAAAATAATATAATATTCATATGGAATTTTAATGAGAATGATGTGATAATAGTATTATTATAAGGATTGAGCTTTCTTTTAGTCCATAATCTAGATTGGAGGGTACTATCTCGGCTCGTGGAGCTCATCACGGGTCCTGTTTCGATGATCTGAATGTTCATATTGTAAGGTCCTTCATGTATATCATCCAAACCAAAAATTAAGTGAATTAGATAATCTTAACTTATTCAATTTATTACATTTGTTATACTGAAAAAATAAATGGCCAATCTTTAAAAGCATGTAATAAATTAAATAATTTATGATTATCAGATTCACCTAATTTTTATGTGGATAATATATATGAAAAATACTACAAATTAACAGTTCGAAACATAAAAAAAAGACCCCTAGTGGGCCCCACAGACTAGGACCCTCCCGCCTAGATTATGAAATAGAGGGAATTCCATCCCTGTAATAATGCGATTATCATATCATCCTTATGTAAATTCTACATGAATATTTTTCTTTCCATTTTTAATCTGTACATAAATTAGACCATCATTATCGCTTATACATTCTTAAATTATAATTTAATTCTATATATATAAGATAAACAAGGTAAATCTACTACTTCACATACATGTAGGGCTGTCAATGAATTGGATTTAATTCAGACCCGACCGGAATCCGATCCAAGAATACAAATCTATTTACAAAAAATCCAACCGATAATACAAATCTGTTTAATCCGTTTATTAAATAGATCGAATATACAAAAAATCCGATCCGATTATTCTCAATTTGAATAAAGAAAACACAAAATGACAAAAAAAAAAAAATCAAATTTTATAAAATTGTAGCTCAATAAATAAATAAATGGATCGGATATCCGAAATTATTAGATTCGGATTTGGGTTTTTCTTAATAGGGTTGAATTCAGATTTTGATAGATCTGATCCGAATCCGGTCAATTTACAGGCTATATAGGCCTGTAAATTGACCGGATTCGGATCGGATCTGTCAAAATCTGAATCCGATCCTATTAAAACAAACCTGAATCCAATCCGAATCTGTTTATCCCATATTTGATTACAGATCACCCAAATCCGAATATGATAATTTCGGATATCTGAACCATTTATTTATTTATTGAGCTGCAATTTTATAAAATTTGATTTTTTTTTTCATTTTGTGTTTTCTTTATTCAAATTGAGAATAATCGGATCGGATTTTTGCATATTCAATCCGTTTAATAAACGGATTAAACGGATTCGGATTATCGGATTGCCGGGTTGGATTTTTTGTAAATAGATTCGTATTTTTGGATCGGATTCAAGTCGGGTCTGAATTAAATCCAATCCATTGACAGCCCTACATGTATGTGAACTAGTAGAGTCAGCTTTTTATTTTATATATATAGAATTAAATTATAATTTAAGAATGTATATGTGATAATGATGGTTTAATTAGGTCTATGTATGTACTAATAAAAATGAAAAAATAATATAATATTCATATGGAATTTTAATGAGAATGATGTGATAATAGTATTATTGTAAGGATTGAGCTTTCTTTTAGTCCATAATCTAGATTGGAGGGTACTATCTCGGCTCGTGGAGCTCATCACGGGTCCTGTTTCGATGATCTGAATATTCATATTGTAAGGTCCTTCATGTATATCATCCAAACCAAAAATTACGTGAATTAGATAATCTTAACTTATTCAATTTATTACATTTGTTATACTGAAAAAATAAATGGTCAATCTTTAAAAGCATGCAATAAATTAAATAATTTATGATGATCAGATTCACCTAATTTTTGTGTGGATAATATATATGAAAAATACTACAAATTAACAGTTCGAAACATAAAAAAAAGACCCATGGTCGACCCCAACGGACTAGAACCCTCCCGCCTAGATTATGAACTAGAGGAAATTCCATTCCTTGTAATAATGTGATTACCATATCATCCTTATGAAAATTCTACATGAATATTTTTCTTTTCATTTTTATCTGTACATAAATTAAACCATCATTATCACTTATACATCCTTAAATTATAATTTAATTGTGTATATATAAAATAAACAAGCTAACTCTACTACTTCACATACATGTAGGGTTGTCAATGGATTGGATTTAATTCAGACCCGACCGGAATCTGATCCTAAAATACGAA